CCTATTTCGGAAAGGAGATGTGAGGTCAGAGGTGGGAGGTCATCTGCGACGCTTGACTGTTAACTAAGATATTTCGGAAACAGTTGGAGCTGGTGGAACTAATCAGGTAGATGAAGACGCATCACTCATGTTTATCACACTGAGCTTACGAATCGAGAAAGCTGTGAGTCACAGTGATGTGACCAAGGAAGCTTATAGGACAACGACCTGCTGCACTACGCGCAGATCGTACCGCAAATACAGACGAAGCAAAGGAGTCCTCTCCTATAGCCTTTTACTCCGGTCCATGCAAATACTCCTGAAAGTGTCGTTTGTTCAACTTCTTCGTTTCACAGTCAAGTGAAATCCTTGGGCATCGAACACCTGATCGACAAATCGTGGAGGGCTTCTGGTTCAATGGAGAATGCCCCTTTACTGGACGACTCACTTGTGTTTTTACAATGAATACGCATCAATGTTCCCCAGAATATTTTCTTGCATTCCCGCAACTCATCAACTTACAGTGTTGTTAACTGAAGACAAACTGCCCGCTCACTCCGACGACGGTCCCCTCCATGTGCGAAGTAAATGGTCCGCAGCCGCACTAACGTGCTACTTTCTTCAGTCGAAAGTGTACAGAAACAAGTATAAAGGGTTGCGATACCACGGTGCCATCATTACTCCACCGCCACTATACTTAATGGGCAGCACTTGCGTACACACCTAGATCAACTCGGTCAAGCACGCAGTCAACCGAAGAGAACAAGAAGGTCGAGAGAAGTGGAATAGCGCAGACATTGGCGCTCTTGGCCAATGGCCATGGTTACACGTACATATGAGAAGCCGTGCGTCACAGCGCCCGGAATCGAGAGACGGCAACCTGGCATCACTACAGCTTCGTTCCTGTTCGTTGTTTACAGGAGAAAGCGGGGAGCTACTGCAGCTGTGAACCCCATTCATCTTACACATGGCACGGATTCACGGAGATGAGTGTACAGTTGTCTTCGAGTTAACCGAACAATTCAGTTCAATTATTATCAGTGAGTAGTCGATATTACAATAAGTAATAGTTGGCATGATGTAATTCGAGTGCGAATTGTGTCGCGGCAAGAAGGGGCGGAGTTATCTGGGGCGGGCAGGTAATGGCGTCCTTTGTGTGGAAAATGGATGTGGTGGGCGCTTCGTGTAAGAACGGGGAAAAAAGCTGCTCCGCGGAAGAATCCTAAAACAAAAAACGTCTTCATTCCATGTTAACAATAAAAAGGATCTATCTATTAATCAAGGGTCGGGAACCTAGACAATATCGCACACGTACCTTAATCCCCGCAGTTTTAGGTCTACAGCTATCGTGACGGATTCGCCATGCTTTTTGTATACGATTGGGTGAAAGATCCCTCTTGTCTACACTCAGGTTAGAAAAAAAGGTTTTTTCTTACCAGATTGCTCAAATCGTGCCCACATTACCTAAAGACTTCAGGTGGTAGCAATTGCTACGTACGGCTACTTTTTCATCTGCTTGATCGGACGGCAGCCAAAATTAGATCAGAAATCAATGGAAAAGGTAGCCAAATAGATTCATGCCTTAAATTTGTCGAAGACTAACCGGAAGTGAAACGTTCAGGAAATCACTATCCTGTTTCCAATTTTCACAACATTCCAAATGCTTTTCTACCTTGGATGGTTGAAAGTCGGACAATTTCCTGATGAATCCTTTCGGAGAGGACGATGACGATTTTGGTGAGTGATTGCTGACACAGTGTTCTGAATGTGGAGCTTTATTACCCAGTCGCGTCATCGCAGTACGAGTTCACCGGGGAAGAGTCGGCCCGCATGGTACACTCCTTATCCGTGAGCCAGAGTAGGCGTGGCATTTGAACATGGCACGGAACTGGTTACTCGTGGAATATTCCAGTCTGGGACAACTGTCATCTTGTTCTGTGTTGAACAGATCTTGTTCTGTGATTGGACAGAGACAAGCGCAACAGCAAGTGTCTCAAGGATGAAAATAACTCACTAGAAGCATAGGACCCTTTCGGGCTTAAGTTGAAACAATCTGCCACGCCTACCCGACTCACGATTCGCGACTGTGATTGCGCGGTTATGCTCTTGGTGTCGGGAAGCCTATGTTAACGTCATTCAGCTTGCATTCGCATGTCAGTCGTTTACTTGGAGGTATGCTCCACCCCAATGCGCCCCCAAAAAATGTCGATGCGAAAATTCTACGCCGGGCGCAGTTTTTCATATATGCATCCTAGCCAGTAGCTAAGGCCAAAAATGTCTAAAGCCGGGCGAAAATTAGTACGAATTTACGACCACTTTACCTTTACGACGCTTTTTCACACAGTCTCAATGGAGACATTCTTTCACACTGAAAACAATCATGAGGGAATGCACGCTTCAAATATATGACAAAATTTGCGACTAGGGCATATCGTTGCTGGGGTTCCCAGCAAGGGGGGTCGGCGCTGTTTAGCGACGGGGGGGCATTTTGTACTAACATTGCTTCCCTAGTTCCGGTTTACGAATCTCACCATGGTAAAACTTGTGAACGCCTGTGAAGCTGGAGTAAGATCGTCTAGCCACCATCCTAAAACGTGTCAACTCGAGAGAAGGCTACCTAGATGGGTCGGCATATTTATGAAAAGCCGAATGCCCCCCCCCCGTCGACAAACTGTGCCAGGGGGTCGTATTTGGACGCTGGGAAAGGGGGCTCGCATTCAGTCTGTGAAATTTTTTTAATAGTTGATTTTTCTCGTTTCGGGGACGCTATCAAGGGAGAAACGGTCGTATTTGTTCGTTGTTGGGAGAGGGGTCATATTTGGCTCCTAGCTTTCTGGTAGACAGAGCTTGTTGAAATTTTCTGATTTTGCATGGGTTTTCATGTTCCATATGTTCTAATATACCTCTCGCCCCGCGCTCGACTAGCATAACCTTTTCAAATTATTGTTGCGGAAAAAGTACGGGGAAAATTCTCTCGGGAACTTCGGGTACGCGTTTTCCAGCGTGTTGTTTCCAATTCACATGCTGCTAATTTATTTCTCCTCCCCCCCCTCCACCGTTCGACAGCTCGATGTAAGGGAAGATTCGTTCGAAAAATCTTAATAATGTAACAAATCGTAATAATGTAAAATAATGTACAGAAAGCAAAATCGCTATCCAACGCAGAAAACGTTCTGGCTTG